TTGTGTGTTATTGTGTGTTGTTGTGTATTATTGTGTATTATTGTGTGTTATTGTGTGTTTATTGTGTGTATTGTGTATTATTGTGTATTATTGTGTGTTGTTGTGTGTATTATTGTGTGTTGTTGTGTGTTATTGTGTGTTATTGTGTGTTGTTGTGTATTATTGTGTGTTGTTGTGTATTTTATTATTGTGTATTATTGTGTGTTATTGTGTGTTATTGTGTATTATTGTGTATTATTGTGTGTGTTATTGTGTGTTATTGTGTGTTATTGTGTGTTATTGTGTATTATTGTGTGTTGTTGTGTATTATTGTGTGTTATTGTGTATTGTGTGTGTGTTATTGTGTGTTATTGTGTATTATTGTGTATTGTGTATTGTGTGTTGTTGTGTATTATTGTGTGTTATTGTGTGTTATTGTGTGTTATTGTGTATTATTGTGTATTATTGTGTGTTTGTGTGTGTTATTGTGTGTTATTGTGTTGTATTGTGTATTATTGTGTATTATTGTGTGTATTGTTGTGTTGTGTATTATTGTGTGTTATTGTGTGTTATTGTGTGTTATTGTGTGTTTATTGTGTATTATTGTGTATTATTGTGTGTTATTGTGTGTTATTGTGTGTTATTGTGTGTTTATTGTGTGTTATTGTGTGTGTTGTTGTGTATTATTGTGTGTTATTGTGTGTTATTGTGTGTTATTGTGTGTTATTGTGTGTTATTGTGTGTTGTTGTGTATTATTGTGTGTTATTGTGTGTTATTGTGTGTTATTGTGTGTTATTGTGTATTATTGTGTATTATTGTGTGTTATTGTGTGTTATTGTGTGTTATTGTGTGTTATTGTGTGTTATTGTGTGTTATTGTGTGTTGTTGTGTATTATTGTGTATTATTGTGTGTTATTGTGTGTTATTGTGTGTTATTGTGTGTTATTGTGTGTTATTGTGTGTTTGTGTAAATTCTGTAGATCAGAAGAGTCAAACTCAGATTCTCAGAGGCCAAAATTAAAAACTGGGACTAAGTCGTGGACCAAACTAAATATTTATTGAAAATTCATTCATTCATATTTTAAAAACATCTGCAGATTTTCTCTGATTGTTAATGTTTAATGATTAAAGATTTCAGTGTTTGCACAAAAACATCGATTATAATTTACACGACTTTAACAGGAAGAAAATAGTTCATGAGTTAATCCTCTCAAAATACGACCTTAGACAAAACTGCAATAAAAGTATTTTATAAATACTAACAAAGAAGTAATGAAGCACTTATTATGATTTTTACTATTAACTAATTATTAATTATATTAATATTATTATGTGATCTCTGATCTAAAGTCTTAACTACAATTTGAAATAAATCACGTCTCTGTAGTCGATCTGGGGCAGATCTAACACATGTTTGAACTGAGCTCATGGGCCAAATATAATGAT